TGTGTGTGTGTGTGTGTGTGTGTGTGTGTGTGTGTGTGTGTGTGTGTGAGAGAGAGAGAGAGAGAGAGAGTGTGTGTGTGTGTGTGTATATATATATATACACACACACATACTCACACACACAAACACAAGCTAAGGACTATAGTGGATACAGTAAATATTGCGCCACAGGTTGAAGAGAACAAAAATAGCTTCAGGAATTATTTCCCATTGGAGGTCATTTTATTCACCTCACGGGGCAATAAACATACTTATTCAGATGGGCGATACTGGTTTAAATTTTATTATACAATGTTCAGTTTCCTAAACGTGGTGGAGCTTTAGTTAACCTCTGCAAAGGGTCCTTAATTTTACATCACAAGCTCAGAACAATTTTGTTCCATGTCATAGTAAAATAATGACTACCACAGGTTCTTCTAGAATGCCCATCATCATGGTATCTACCTGCTGTCATTTAGCCCTTAATCCATACATCACAAAGTAAGGTATGTATCAAAACTTCTGTTTTGCAAAGGAGTTTAAGCCTCAAAAATAGTCACTGATTTTGTGTGCCCAACTTGAGACACTTCAAGGTGCCTTGATTTGGGCATCCAAATTGAAGTATCTAAAAATCAGGCCACTTTTGAAAGTGTTGGCTTCAATGATTTGCTTAAAATCATCCAGCAGGTCAATGGCAGAGCTGTTAAGAAAACCCAGGTCTCCCAGCCCTGTGCTGTAGCCACACTGCCTCCCATACAGAAGAAGGTCATGAATTTGAGATGCTCCCCTTCCTAATGCGTGAGTTATGAGGTCATCTGCTACGAGCCCCAAGAAAACCTTTAAAACCATGCCATGGTGTATTCTGTATAGGTTATGTAAGTATTTGTGGTACTGTAGCACCTAGGAACCCCAGTGACAAACCAAGACCCCACTGTGCTAGGCACTGTACACACACACAGAACAAAAAGTATATATTTACAGAAGAGTTAACAGAGGAATGTTCCCGAGAGATTTAAAAATGCAGATCAGTATTGTTTTCCATATTACTCTGCCTATAAATAATGTAGGCTTCCTGATGCTATCTGAATCCCATGGCTCAGAGAGGAGAAAAAATTATAACCAGTACATTTTAGAAATCGCCAAAGCTTTTCTCTGCTTGTTAATGTCATAGTGTTCAAATCGAGCATCTTGCAGTCTACCAGGATTAGAAACAAAAGCACTGTTCCTTTGGAAAGGACAGGTCCTGGCTTTCCAATGAGATAAAGCTCCTGTTTCTATTGATCAGACCTTAAACCTGTCACTGTTGAAGGCCTGCATATTGTCGATCTTGGGTCTAGTATAATTTTGGGGAGAAATGTCACGTTTCTCATGAATAATATGGCCTTCTTGGACACACACACACACACTTATACACATACACATGATGGTTTAGTGTGGCAGAGCATTAAGGCATGAGTGTGGATGGATGCATTACTCACAAATACATGTATTATATTAATGACACATATTTAAATGTGTGGGTAGGAGGTTGGGAGAGGGAAAAGAGCCTTGAAAACGTGGTGGTTTGCTTTACAGGGGTCTGTGTGTTTTAATTCCGTGTGAAATTCCCCAAGTTTTGCTTTGAGTTTCTGGTTTGAACAAACTCAGAATCTTAAAGTGAAACTCAGTGGAAATGACAAAGTTTTCCCCCATTTCATAATACTACCATGAAAAACTCAGAATTTTGAACAACTTTTATGCAAAGCCACAATTCAGCATAGTTTGCTCTAAAGTTTCATTAACTTCACGGAAACTATCAACAAACCTGATGCTTCGAATCTGTAAGGAATCCAAGCTCAGGAGAACTGTATGTGCTTTGAGGTTTCGGTGTTAACATTTCACACAGCTGTGAGGACTGATCTCAAAAGCCTATTGAATTCAATGGGCCTTGCAGCAGACCCTTGGAGCGGGCCAGGGGACAGGATATATGACTCAGTCCCAAGACCAGTAATTTAAGCCTGCATTAGGGGAATTGTTGATTGTGTGATTTTGCAATGACTAGTTTAATGTACATTTCCCAGAGGAGAAATTACCTCTTTCCATTTCTGCATCTCCTGAGAGCTTAGAAGCTCTTCTGTCACAGAAGCTCTGAATCAGCCCCTGTCCTTGCAGTCAAGGGAAGACTGGACAGGGCAGGCTCCCTGTCAATGCTGGTGCTTCAATGACTGGAAAGAGTACTACTGAGCAATGGGAGAACACCCACCCCTGCCTAACCTTGGGAGCACAGCTGGCTCTCAGTGTTGTGTGGCACTATGAAAAGTAGCACTTCCATGGACCCCACCCCGTCTCCAGCCTTGGACCAGGCACTTTCCCACAAGTGTGTGTGTATTCACATCCCTTCCTGCCTGCCTCTGGTGCTCACTCCGGCCGTGGGAAACCCTCACCCCTCACACTTTTCAGACTCCGCAGTTTTTAGTGACTCACTTGGCCTAGGAAACCAAGGATGGAGCAGAAGTGTCACTTTCCAAACAGAGAGCAGACAAGGGCGTCTTGGGAATTCTCTCCCTGCTGTGGCTTGTAGGCACCGCTCCGATGGGGCCGCAGCTATGGAATTGAAGGTCCCCTTCTAGACAGCACCTCATGGGTGTGGGGAGTGGAGGGCCTAACACAAGCACATAGGTCACACAAGCTTATGGTTGGCTCTGTCCAGAGGAGTGGGACCAGGATCAGAAATCCAGTTCTTGCGTGGAGTATTAACACACACACACACATACACCAGGCCACCAGGGCTCTCCCCAGCACCCTGATATTTCTACTAAATTTTAGCAACAGTGAAAGGCACCACCCTGGAGGCTTCAGTCCTCTCTCTGTCCCCATAACATGCAGCAGCTCCAGCACCCCAAGCTTCTGCCCCAATGCTCCTCACCGGCCTAGTGTGGGGAAAGAGGGAGTCAAAGCTCCTGAGATACAAAATGGAACTGAACTCGTCCACTTACCTAGACTAGTGACATGAAGCACAAAGAGCCCCTGCCAGAACCAATTCTTTAATGCCAGTCCAGACCACATCAGTTCAGCCCTGGCCGCACACACCATTTTCTTAGAACTCCTCGGATAAAAAAAGACAGAGAAAAGAAAAGACATGAAACAAGAAGGAATTGATGAGTTAATAAATGAAGCCTTGAATTGACCAGAAATCTTAACTCTTTGGACAAGTGATACACCATGTAGCACTTCTATAGTGTTGATCATCCAGCTGGATCCCATAGCACAGTGATTCTCAAACTGGGGGTCGGGATCCCTCAGGGGGTCTCAAGAATATTACATGGGGGGGGTCATGAGCTGTCAACATCTACCCCAAACCCCGCTTTGCCTCCAGCATTTATAATGGTGCTAAATATATAAAATAGTGTTTTTAATTCAGAAGGGGGGGGGTCACACTCAGAGGCTTGCTATGTGAAAGGGGTCACCAGTACAAAAGTTTGAGAACCTCTGCCATAGCACTTTACAAACATTGGTTAATTAAGCCTCAGTGTCAGCGCACTGTTCATTCTCCATGAGTTTCATTCTGGATTGGGTGATCTGCTGTGCTTGGGAAATTCTAATTGCCTTTTCAAGGGTTAATTCTGGGTGCTATGGAAGTTATTCTGAAGGAGCGGTTAAGTGATTTTCCCAAGGTCCTGGCCACTCATCAGTGGCAGATTTGGCAATACAGCCCAGGAGTCCCAATTCCTAAATCCTCTGCTCTATACACAAAACACATTGATCCCCATTCTCAGTGCACCCAGGCTCTGGTTGGTATAAAATCAGGAGGCTGGCTTTACACTACCTTTGTGCCTCCCCCTATCATTCTGGAGTTGGCCAGGAGCCTAGAAGAGCCTCAGGACTTCTCCAAACTGCACCCAGTGGCCTTGGCCATTCAGCATTTGGGAAGTGAATTCAGTGCTGGAGAGCTGCTGGATTTACAGCTCAAGAAAAAGCTGTTTATTACAGAGGCACAGCACCAGCAACAGGGGGTCAGTGTCCTCCGAGCCTGCCCCCTCCCATCCTGCTTCAACTCAGAACAGCCTCCTTTTAAAAATCATCAGCTCAAGGTGTTCAGAGGTTTGCTTTCCAGCCTGGCAGGTTTCTGACCAATTTTAAGATGACACGTTCTTGACCGGCAGCACCCCACACAGCCCAGCATTACCAGGCACATGCCATGCAGCCAGACAGTAGTGAACTGCTAGCAGAGGAAAGCAAAGGGCCAAACCACTCCAATAGAGGTCCCCAGAGTCACCTGCCGCAAGGCAAAAACTGAGAGCACTCACTTGTGTTCCAGGGGCTCCTTCTCCCTCTTGCCGTGGGGTCTGGGTAGTCCTTAGCTGGCCACGTCCCCTGTGTTACGGAGCTCAGAGCAGCTCATTCTTAGTCAGCCATGCACAACAAAAGAGCAGAGCATGTGCGTGTGGAGCTTAACTTTATACAGGCAAAAAGGGTTGCCACCCCCACAACTTCCCCTTTTGCACTGATTAAGAAACAAAACCTTTCTGATCTTGCGTACTCCATCCCGCCCTATCCTGACGTCCCCACACTGCTTGGAAACGGTTGTTATGAAGGCCCTGGGACCAACTCAACAGGCTGTGTTGAGGGTTGCAACAGAGCAGCAGTCCCATACAGTTACATGGGGCAGTTTCTCTGCAGCCACAAAGGAGAGGAAACATTGTTTCATAATGGTCTAAAATTGGACCAAAACATTGTTAATGCTCACGCTGCCCTGTAATCAGTGGCCCTGCTTAATCTCATCCCACCACCTCCAATCCCAACCCCTCTTCCCTCTCCCACACACTGGCACCACCCAGACCTTTCACCCTACTGTTCCCTTCCTTTTTATCTGCCCCTCAGCTTTGCACCAGCCATTTTGCTTCCCCCTACATTTGGAACATTCTCTCACGGCCTCTCCCAATGCCCTTCCATGAATGCTTGGTATACTGGGCTAACATCAATGAGGCGTCTGTGCCCTCCTGTGCCTGAAACATTGCCCTGCATTTTGCCTAGTTTAGAGACCCATCCTGCGAAGTGCTGAGCACTTTCTGAGAGGGTCTGAGCACACAACTCTAGGGCTGGGCAGTTTTTTGTATGAACCCTTTTTCAGCAAAAAAGCCCAAATTCAGTCACATCGAATTATTTAGCAAATGCCTGTTGATTTTGCCAAATTGTTTCAACCGGGGGGGGGGGGGAAGAGAGAGTCAGAAAAAAGTTTTGTTTTGACTTTTTTTTCAAATGAACTGTTTTAATTTTTTTGGTTGAAAATGAGTTTTCATTTCAAAATTTCCTTTCCATTTATTAAAAAAAAATGTAATGGTCAAAATTGAAACAAAACATTCTGATTTGGTCAAAATGAAACATTCAACCCCACATTATTATTTTTTTAACTTTTCAATGTGCCAAAATATTTGAAAAATATTGTTTTTGTTTTGACTTGAAATTGATTTTTTTTTCATTTTTCAGAATTCCCAGCAAACCACATTATTTTTTCACCCAGCTCTAGACAACTGCCATTGGCTCCAGTGACAGCTCAGGGCACCAGGCAGAGATGCTCAGCGCCTCACAGGATCAGATTTTCTTCAAGGCACGGATCTTCCCTCCTTATTTGTTTTGGTAAGTGGCCTGTATCTTTATATCCCAGTGGAAATAATGCCCTATCCATTAACCCACAATAACAATCGTTATAACACAAATGAATTAAGTATGAACATCACGCCTGATTCTTGACTGTGTTGCTCCAGTTTTAACTCTGTGTAACCCTTTGATTTCCATGGGCTTACAGCAGAGGTGAATTGGACCCACTGTACTGTAAACAAATCAAAGTTCTATTTTGATAGCTCATAGCTGGCCATATGCTAGCTCTATAAGGAAGTCAGATGTTCGACTGGGCACAATATACAACTATTTAGTTAAGGATTCAAGTAGCTGAAATGGTATGGAGGAGCTTGGCGTCAAAGCAAACAACCACAAACTAAGAATTAATTAGGACTATTTATTTGGCTGTTGGTGGATTTCTAGCACGTGTGTTTCATCGATTAGTTTCCTTTTCTTTTTTCCCCCTGTAAATTTGCATTCTACCTATGGATCATCAGCATGGTACATAGATACAGAGACTATTAGTAACAATAGATTTAAAGAACAGAAACTTGTTCATGGCACTTCAGAGGAAAAATATTAAAATAAAATAGAATCACCAAAAACTTGGCTATCCTGAGTCCCAGTCTATTGCCCTAACCACAAAACCACCCTCTTTCCCTTTGTGTACCTAGTATGATCATACATGTCTATTAACGTTGTCTATTGTATAATATTGTCTATTATAGCCCTCCAGTATAACCACACACCATTTCATGTTTTATTGCCCTCAAGGCTTGAAGGCATCTCAGGTACAGTTTTCAGAAGTGCCTAAGCAGCTTAGGAGACAGTATCATTTTGAAAAGTGACTTAGTATTATGGTCACAGCATACACAGAGAAGAATCAGATGTAGGGTTACCAACCCTCCAGTATTGTCCTGGTGTCTCCAGGAATTTAAGATTAATCTTTAATGAAAGATTATGTCATGTGATAAAACCTCCAGGAATATATCCAACCAAAATTGGCAACCCTAGTCAGATAGGAACATAAAATACTCTTGCTGGAAGGTTGCAACATAACACTACTTTACTACTTAGAATTCAGAATGATAACACACAAGAACCCCAAACCAGAGAGTGACAAAGCAGGCTGCTCCCTGAAACAGAGTCACACATATTATCTCACCTTACTCTAGATGTCTGTCTGCAGACTGACTACTGCTAGAGTGCTAAGCCAGATCACTTCCTTTCCTAGGGAGCTCCCTAGCCTGCAAACAGGGCCAGGAAAAAAACCCTGGCCATTTAAAGTGATAGTTTACAATTTTAATACAGTTTGCAATACACCACACATAAGAGCCTAAATCTCATTGATTTTCAAGGAGACCTAAGCTCCTAAGTCACATAGGCACTTGAAACTTTGATTCTGAGACTAAGCACACCCCCTGTATAGTAATATGGTACTGGCAAACCTTTTTGAGCTGTAAAGAATATTTTCTCACTTTCATTTTAAATTTAAATGATTAAAAAACAGTTTTGCTTTTACTATATTAAAGCTAAGAAGAAATTCCAGTCAATGAATGCAGATGCTGTGGTAGTTATTTAGGGCTCAAGGGTGCCCTGAGAAATGCAGGGCCGGTCTCCACCAGTCCCCAGAGAGGCTGACTTGTACTTGTGAAGCCATGGTCCTCTTGTCACAGGCTGCAGGTGTGCTGGAGGGCAGGATTGTTAGGTGCATAGGAGATGTAGTCACATTAAAATTGTAGCCCTGACAGTTTCACCCGGTGAACAGGTGTGGTATTAGGGGCTGTGCCTTTAAGGGCTGAGCTTCCCAAACAGAAAGTCTAGGTGGGGCACTGAGAAGCCAGCTGGAACCAGACACTTGCAACTTCCTTGAGCACTGAGTGATCACTGAACACTGCATGATCCTGGGAGTAAAGAGAACTAAGAAAAGATCCTGAATGGAAGAATGAAGCAGTTAAAAGCCCCATCCATCAGAGATGAAACTCTAGAAATGTGGAAGACAGCTGGAAAAGGCTTAAACAGTGCTTCTCCCTGTATCTACAAGCAATGAGTGCTAGAAAATATAGACACAGGTGGAGGGTAGCCTTATTTCTGACAATAGCAGGTTCTGAAGCACTTGATGTGTTTAGAAGTTTGTAGTTAACTCAGGCAGAGGAGGCTAACTATGAAACTGTTACAGACATTTGAGGATTAACTGCACTCCACCTAAAAATGTTTAAAAACATCTCTCAGCTGTTTCAGAGTACAACAAGAAGATGAAACCATAGCAGAGATTTTAGAGCTGAGTCCCTCATAAGAGACCAGCTTGCAATTGGAATCTGGAACAAAAATGTCAGAGAGACACTATTGGGAGAGCCAGAATTAACCCTCGCTAAGGCAATTAGAATCTACCAAGCACAGGATGTCACCCACTCCAGAATGAAGCTCACAGAGGGTGGGCAGTGCTCTGATGCTGTAGACCAGATTGAGAATCC